GAGTCTGTCTGAGTCTGAGTCTGTCTGAGTCTGTCTGAGACTGAGTCTGTCTGAGTCTGAGTCTGTCTGAGTCTGGGTCTGTCAGAGAGTAAGTCTGTCTGAGTCTGTCTGAGACTGAGTCTGACTGAGTCTGAGTCTGTCTGAGACTGAGTCTGCCTGTGACTGAGTTTGAGTCTGACTGAGTCTGAGTCTGTCTGAGACTGAGTCTGCCTGTGACTGAGTCTGAGTCTGCCTGTGACTGAGTCTGAGTCTGCCTGTGACTGAGTCTGTCTGCCTGAGACTGAGTCTGAGTTTGCCTGAGACTGAGTCTACCCGAGATTGAGTCTGTCTGAGTCTGAGTCTGTCTGAGAGTAAGTCTGACTGAGTCTTAGTCTGACTGAGTCTGAGTCTGCCTGTGACTGAGTCTGAGTCTGCCTGTGACTGAGTCTGTCTGCCTGAGACTGAGTCTACCTGAGTTTGAGTCTGTCTGAGACTGAGTCTGTCTGATTCTGAGTCTGTCTGAGAGTAAGTCTGACTGAGTCTGAGTCTGACTGAGTCTGTCTGCCTGAGACTGAGTCTGTCTGAGACTGAGTCTGTCTGAGACTGAGTCTGTCTGAGAGTAAGTCTGACTGAGTCTGAGTCTGACTGAGTCTGAGTCTGTCTGAGTCTGCCTGAGACTGAGTCTGTCTGAGACTGAGTCTGGGTCTGTCTGAGACTGAGTCTGCCTGAGACTGAGTCTGTCTGAGACTGAGTCTGTCTGAGACTGAGTCTATCTGAGACTGAGTCTGGGTCTGTCTGAGACTGAGTCTGCCTGAGACTGAGTCTGTCTGAGACTGAGTCTGTGTCTGTCTGAGAGTGAGTCTGTCTGAGTCTGAGTCTGTCTGAGACTGAGTCTGTCTGAATCTGTCTGAGTCTTGAGTCTGTCTGAGTCTGTCTGAGACTGAGTCTGTCTGAGTCTGGGTCTGTCTGAGAGTAAGTCTGTCTGAGTCTGAGTCTGTCTGAGACTGAGTCTGACTGAGTCTGAGTCTGTCTGAGA